GTCAGATTGGCATGAACATGGTTAGGACAGAAATGAGCAGCAGCGGATTATCACAGCACATATCAATGTGGGAGCAGGTAATGGAGACAGTGATGGTGTGGAGATGCGCCTTTTTTCAAAGGAGTGAGCACAGGCCCAGCAAAGCTCAACTTCACCTGGGTGCTGAACTTCAGAGTTCATCAGAGAAGCAAATGCCCTAGGAAGTGTGTCAGATTGGCCTGAGGCTGTTTGCTCACCTTCATGCACAAGTCTCTCTTTTCATGAGTGTCTCCCTGTCCCTGGTGTATAGCTTGTCGCCTCTTGCACTGAGAGACTGGGGACCCAGAGGGAGAGCCACAAGTAGCTCCGGCCTCCACAGTGTGTTAGCAACATTCTTAATGCTGAGTGCTAGAGAGGCAAGATGGACCAGGGTTCCAGAGCAAATGTCTTATTCTTGCAGAGAATGTGGGCAGCCATGAAAGAATTGAGGAACGGATGCTTGAAGTGTCTCCTGGGCCCCTTACACGGTGACATGGGACCTGTTGATAGAGGCTCCACAATCTAGAGTTCTGCACAGGGGCCAGATGCACTGGAGTGACCAACCTGCCTCCACAGCTGTCTGGCAGAAAGCAGAGAGTGGGGATAAAAGGGTCTTTCTCAGGATGGCAGCTGGTGACAAGTGGAGTTCCACAAGGGTCAGTGTTGCGGCCACAATTTTTCACTTTATACATTAATGATCCAGATGAAGGAACTGTGGACATTCTGGCTTAGTTTGCAGATGATACAAAGAAAGGTGGAGGGACAGATAGTATTGAGGAGGTGGGCACGCTGCAGAAGGATTTGGACAGTTTAGGAGAGTGGCCAAAGGAGTGGCAGATGGAGTACAACGTGGGAAAGTGTGAGGTCATGCACTTTGGTAAGAAGAATAAAAGCAAGGACTATTTTTTAAATGGGGAGAAAACTCAGAAGTCTGAAGTGCAAAGAAATGTGGGAGTTCTAGTCCAGGATTCTCTCAAGGTAAACTTGCAGGTTGAGGTAGTAGTCAGGAAGGCAAATCCAATGTTGGCATTTATTTTGAGAGGGCTTGAATATAAAAGCAGGGATGTACTCCTGAGGCTTCATAAGGCTCTGGTCAGGCCACATTTGGAGTATTGTGTGCAGTTTTGGGCCCCATTTCTCAAGGAGGATGTACTGGACCTGGAGCAGGTTCGGAGGATGTTCACGAGAATGGTCCCAGGAATGGAAAGCTTAACATATGAGGAACGTTTGAGGACTCTAGGGCTATACTCATTGGAGTTTAGAAGAATGAAGGGGCATCTAATTGAAACTTACAGAATACTGAATGGCCTGGACAGAGAGGATGTTGGGAAGATGCTTCCATTGGCAGGAGAGACTAGGACCCAAGGGCACAGCCTTAGAGTAAAGGGAAGACCTTTTAGAACTGAGATAAGGAGAAACTACCTCAGCCAGATAGTGGTGAATCTGTGGAATTCACTGCCACAGAAGGCTGTGGAGGCCAGGTCATTGAGTACATTTAAGACTGAGATTGATAGGTTCTTGATTATCAAGGGGATCAAGGGTTATGGGGAGAAAGCAGGAGAATGGGGTTGAGGAAATTATCAGTCATGATTGAATGGTGGAGCAGACTCGATGGACCAAATGGCCTAATTTCTACTCCTATGTCTTATGGTCTTATTCAGCCCATTGAGTCTGCAATAACCCTCTGAATAACATCCCACCCACATCCATACCTCCACTCTATACCTGTAACCCTGCATTTCCCAGCACTAATCTTGCAAATCTGTCCATCCCTGGACACTATGGGGCAATTTAGCATGGCTAATCCACCTAACCTGCATATCTCTGGACTGTGGAAGGAAACCAGATCACACGGAGGAAACCCATGCAGACACAAGGAGAATGTGCAAACTCTACACAGACAATCACCCAAGGCTGGAATCAAACCCAGATCCTTGGCACTGTGAGACAGCAGTGCTAACCACTGTAGAGGTCACAGAACTGAAGAGTACAGAGCATAAATTTAAGGTGGGGAGTAAGTGGTTTAGAGGAAATCTAATGAAACCTATTTTCACCTAGACACCCAGAGGGTGGAGGAAATATGGAACATGCTGCCTGACAGGGTAGTGGAGGCAGGTACTCTCACAACATTCAAGAAGCATCTGCATGAACATATAAAATGCCAGGGCGTAATAGGCTATGAACCAAACGCAAGTAAATGGAATCAGTGATAATAAGAACTGCCGATGCTGGAGTCAGAGATAACACAGTGTGGAGTTGGAGGAATACAGCAGGCCAGGCAGCATCAGAGGAATAGGAAAGCTGATGTTTTGGGTCAGGACCCTTCTTCAGAAATGAGGAGGGGGCAATAAAGAGAGAGAGGAGGGGTGGAGCTGGGGAAGGTAGGCGGGATGGTGATAGGCGAGTACAGGTAGGGAGTGGTGGGGATTGGTCAGTGAGGTGGGAGGAGCGGATAGGTGGCAGAGAAGATGGACAGGTCAAAGAGGTGGGGATGAGAGGGAGGGTTGGTCATGGGCTGAGGCCGGTGGTGGGGAGATTTTGAAACTGGTAAAAATCCACGTTTAGGCTATTGGGTTGTAGGCTTGTGAGGCGGAATATGAGGTGCTGCTCCTCCAGTTTGCGGGTGGTGTCAATGTGACACTGGAGGAGGCCCAGAATGGACATGTCTCCCAGGGAGTGGGAGGTGGGGAAGTTAAAATGGTTCATGAACAGAAGGTGTAGAGCTGGATGAACACAACAGGCCAAGCAGCATCAGAGGAGCAGGAAGGCTGACATTTTGGGCCTAGACCCTG